AATAAGCTGAAATGTGGGGCAACACKTTCATTTTGTGACTAAAGAAAGAGCAGAACGCTGTGCCACCGAAAYTAGAAGCAAGCAAATTGCACTGACCTAAATTTATCCTCAACTGTGTCTCTGGAAGGCACCCAGCTTGTTACAGACCTACAGTTCCCTCAGGACACTTTGTCAAAAGGGATGCTGGGGCATCATGAAGAGCTACACTGCACACAGGGAAAGCTGAGGGCGAGGGTGTACTACAAGAAAAAATTGCCAAATTATTCCCCTATTCAACCACAGGAATATTGTCTGCAGCAAAAGCGTGATCAGACACAAAATCCAATCTGCTGGGTGTTTATTTTTTGCAGTTCCTACAGAGCAGCACAGAGAAATCAAACAAGTGTCACAGCAGGGAGTGTGCAACGGTGTCTACACCGGATTCCAGTAAAAACTGGCTTCAGCATTAATGAAAATAAGTGACCAGCTTTAAAAGTGTGTCAGTTTAGAACCAGGAAATTCATGGAAGTCATTTCTTCCAGCCAGAAACATCACTGATTTGGTGTCTCCTCAAACCTTTTAAGGTTTATAATAAGGTTTAACCTTACTGCAATTTTGCAAGACRTAGAATCTAACCTCTACCCAAATCAGACTTGGAAAACTGAGATACTCACCCTCCCCCCATTCCTCCATTTTTTTCTTGTAGAAAAGTAATAAATATTCAATATTTTCATAAAGCTGAATGGTTTTAAAGAGAACATACATGAAAGTAAGCCCGCTTTGATTTTTGCCTAAAAATTCCAGAATTTTGCTTTGGAACTGCAGCTTTCTGCCCAGATGATTTCATTAATGCTTTTTCCTGTTGTCATTCTGTCATTCCATGGCATGCAGTGATAGTTCCCAATTTAACATGATTAAAAGGTTAATTTTCAGAAAATGCATCGTCACAAATACATCTCACTGCACCATGACATCCCCTCCTGAAAACCAATTCTATCCACTCCCACAACCTGAAGCTTTATATTCCTGTATTTATATTTACAGCTTTATATTTACATGCTGACTTTATTTTGACATGTTGGGTTTTCCCTCAATACAAAAGACGAAGCTGAATTATCAAAAGAGGGTTTGGTTTGTGGGAAACCAATTTCTTGTGTTTTTCAGACCCTTGCCAAACTGCTAAGGATGATAAATATTTTCTTTCCCTCCGTCAAGAGAGTGCATATTTCAAACCACCACATCACTGCTTTAAATTCTTGGCACAATTCCACAGTGATGCTTCCAGCGTCCTGCTCCACAGCCTTGAACAGTTGCTTAAAGATAATTTGGTTCCTAAAAGTGGAAGATGTACTGGCAGCAATAGGAAGAATTGAATATATTATTTCTCCCCCAAATATTCAGCCRTTCAAAGCTTCTGATGTTCTGCCCACTCTGAAGGCATTGGATTTTTTTCCTGATAACCAGCACTTGTGGTGCTCCTGATTTTTGGATGTCTTCAGGGTAAAATTCACAAAGGAGTCCTGGTTCTTGCAGCTGGGCTCCACTTTTCTTGTGAAACTCATAATCTGCAGATCTTCTGGATGACTGAAGAAGATTTGCCCATTTATGGTGGTAAAAGGGCACTTTTCCATGATTTCAGGATCCCCAGGAATGACTGAGGTGTCTGAACAACCACATCCCTCAAGCCCATGTGCTTGCTTTGACTGGTGAAAGGAAGGACTCCTCAAACCCAGGATTTTTTGTTCAAAGCCTATTTTCCCTTGTTACAGGAACAAAAAACAGGAGCAGAGAGATTTGATTCCATGTGACCATCACAGAATTCACAGCTGGGCCGTTGGAGGAAAAAAAAATTGACTCAGAAGTGCTTTTCCTTTAAAAGGAAATGATTAAACAATCAAAATATTCATCACAAACCAGGCTCAGATTCCTTCTCTCSCATCAGATCATSTTTRTTTTCCAGARTTGTTTCTGCARCTCAWCCTCTTCCTCCTCAGGGCTCTCCTGTCTCAGTTTTGGGATGGSCAAGAGGAGCCCACCAGAGACCCACAGGGAATGGCAGGAGGAGAAGAACCCCTGCCAGCACACAGAAAATGGCAATCCCAATAATTTCTGCCCTTTTTGCTTTGTGTGAGGTGTGACCTTCAGTCCATCATTGCCTTGAAAGCACTAAAAAAAACCCCAATGAGCAGAGCTGGGGGTGAGCAGACCGAGTCTGGTTGAAGTGGTCAGCAGCAAAGCAGGATCCAGGCACCAGAGCTGCCCCAAAAAGGAAAAGGATGAATCCAACAGCACTGAAAGAGCTCTGGCTGCAGCATCACACATGGGAGAGCAAAGGCCAGGCTGCTGGGAACTCAGGGGTGGATCCCTGCAGGGAAAGGCAAGGCTTTGRCACAGGATGGTCAGGGTGCTCCTGCCTGCCCTGCCCGGGTATCTGAAATTCCTCACTGGGTCAGCAGCAGGAAACTGCAGGGAGCTGGGCAGGTGCAAATCTGATTTGGGCACAGGCTCACACAGGGCATTCAGTGAAGCACATTTTTACATTTTCTTCAAGTTTCTTGTTCAGCAGAAAGAATTGATTTCCTGGTTCTTGACCATTACATGATAATGGGAGCAGAGCACATATCCCGGTRTCTGGAATCCTGGAATGGTTTGGGATGGAAAGGACCTCAAAAATCCCCTCATTCCACCCCTGCCATGGGCAGGGACACCTTCCACTATCCCAAGATGCTCCAAGCCCTGTCCAACATGACCTTGGGCACTGCCAGGGATGGGCAGCACCCCCTGTGCCAGGATCTCACCGCCCTCACAGGGAAGAATTCCTCCTAACATTTAATATAAGCCTGCCCTCCTTCAGTGCCTTGATTTTTTATTTTTAAAATACAAAGCTGGGAAAGTCTCCAAGGCTTTGGACTAAATAAAAATCCTACCCTGGCTCCCCTGCTTGGCAGCCTTTCACTTCTAATACAACACAGATCAGAGAGGTGTTTTTTTGGCTCCCTTACCTACAACAAGATTATTCTCTGACATATGTTCCCATCAGTCAGGAAAGAGCTCTGCTSCTGTCACACAACCCCACAAAGCTGGGAAGGTGCCTCAGGTCACAGAATGGCATCTTTGGGTGCAAACTTTCATATCACAACCAATCCTTTTTGATGCCATCTCAATGAGCAGCTGAGGGTGAGGGGAGGGAGCTGAGGAATCTTTTTTCTGAGCAAAACAGGCACAAAGAACCTACACAAATCCTACCCCACCCTTTCTGCTTTTCTGTCCCTAATTGGGGATTTTCTGTCCCTATTTCTCCCCACTGGTCCTTCCATGGGGCACAGCTCAGTSTTACAGGACCTGTTTTCCAGGAGATATTAACCAACCCCAGAGTGAGTTTGTCCTGTTCAAACCATCTCTGCTCCCATCAGGACCTCAATGATCTTTAAGGTTCGTTCCAACCCAAACCCTTCTGTGATTCTGTGTTCCTATGGGGTTTTTTTTACCAAAAAAAAAAAAAAAAAAAAAAAAAAAAACCCAAACAAAATCAAACAAGAAGATGCCCACAAAAAACGCCAAAACAAATGACACAAAAAACCCACATAAAAAATCTAATAAAAATACCAAAAAAGGCAAAAAAAACCCACAAAAAACCACCAAAAAAACCAACCAAAAAAACACCAAAAAAACCCCCAATACCAGCTATAAATAGTGTCAAGTCCTGCTGTAAACACCTAACAGAGCTGAACTAAAAATAGAAACCTGACAGGATGAAGCAGTGCAGCTCTGGTGTTGAGGAGAACAGCAGAGTCAAGAGGATGAATAAAGGAAGGAATAAGGCTTTGCTACAGTAATTATCCACCTGCCACAGAACAATGCAGAATAAATATAGAAACCTTATTGCCAAATAAGCTCCTACTCCCACAGCCACGTTAAAAGAAATTAAAAAAAAAGAAGAAAATTAAAACAGAAAATTAACCTGTTGAAAGAAAAATATTCTTTTTCTTAGATAGAATGGTGTTTTTCTGGTTTGCAATTAATTATGTGTTACATTCATTTTCTAAGTGAGAGTTCTGACCACAATGGATCTGTCAGAGGGGTTATGCATCTCTTGCAGGTTTGGGTAAAAGGAGAAGGGGGATTATTTGTTCACATAATGCAGTGAGACTCAATGACAAACTAAAAGGCTGAACAAACATGTAAAGATCAGGGAAAAAACTTCAAATCTTCACCTCCAGTTCCTGTTCCTGCCATCTGACTGCTGTAGCCCTCATATACACTGAGAAAAACTCACAGAGCAGTAAATGCACACAAACCCATGCAAAAGGCTTATTTCTCAGTGCCATGTATGTATTGTCTAACACAAGCAGTAGCCAGAAAGCTCAAAAAGATTGTATTTTATATAGAATATAGAATTTATATATATTCATAGAACATTTATATAGAATATATATTTACATTATGATACGTAAATATGTGCTTAAATAATATACTATGTTTAATAACATGAATAATAAGTGCATAAATATAAATTTATAAATAATACATTTATACATATATAGAATTTTAATGTATATAGGTACTGTAAAGTATAGTACTTTTACAATACCATACTTTTTTTAACTACTCCCATAAAAATCGTGTTATTTTGGAATTACACCAGTTACTTGGTGATTGCCCAGGGATTAGGACACCTCAAAGAGGAGTGGTTATTCTAAACTAAACAAAAAAAGGCCCAAAACTATTACCTAAGCAAATCACATTGGAAGAATATTGAAGAATGAGGAAGTTTAACCCCAACAAATAGAAAGTGAGTGTAAAGGCCCAGATGCAGACAAGGACCAGAGAAATTTGTTACCCTTAAATTTCCATTTTATTCCCTATATAACTTTGTCTTTTACTGCTGCCCCATTCAATTACTTGATGTCTCACAGCATTTCTATTTTTTTTTTTCTTGAAGAACCAAAGCACATCAAGACATGAATTTCTAGGTCTGAAAAGTCAGAATTCCACAGAAAAAAAAACCAGCATGTACTTACGACCAGAGGGAGTTTCTTCCCTGCGTGATGACTCCAGTGAATTTTGTCAGCCTTCGAGCATCTACTTCAATCCACTGGTAGGGGTCATTTCTTCCTGCACACCAAGCACCATCATAAAAATCATTTTCGTTAACACCTGCCTGAAAAGAAGGCAAAGCTGACCATAAATCAGAGCTAACAAACTGAAGGTTTTGCATGGGAAAAGAAAAGAACATGTCATTCATCCCACTGACTCCTCTGGCATTGTTTTAAGGACATTGAGGTCCTGACCAAAAAATTTTCTTATTCACAGAGAGAAAGGAAATTTTGGGAAGTCCCTTTGAAAACTAAGAATATTTTAAAACTATTTACATATTAATTTAAGGCAGAAAGAATAAACAGAGCTTCAGACTGTTCACCTGTCTGTGCTTGTGGCCTGATGGAGCCTTTATCCATGATCCACATGGTCTGCAGAACTTTAAAAACCCTAAAAAGCCATCTCCAGTCCATAGAAATAAAGGTCAGTGATCAGACAATCTCTTTTTCCCTGGCAGCAGCAAAACAGAATACAGGGCATAAGGAAACAGTAACACAACTTCCCACAAGAACCAGAATTATTGATTTTCATAGCTGGGGTGGCAAAGGTTAAAAATTCAGGAATGTCTGGCTGGACCCCAACTTGAGTATCTGCATCCCAATTTCTGCTGGGAAACCCACCCCAAACAGCCTTCCCAGCATTTTCAAAGAAATAACTGAATGTATTTTGGGTAAGCTGCTTTCCAAATAAACCTGAACCAGAATTTAATGAAATGTAGCATATGAAGCCTTCAGAGATTTATTTTCCTTCTAAAGCCCAGGAAATGTCTGGCACCAAGCTGAACACTGCCATGAAGAACACAGAGGCTTTGCTATGTGGTCCTCTGGGGCTACATGGATTTTTGTGATATTTCATCTGTGGTTTATGTGGATTTATCCTTGTCATCCATGCAATGCCAAGAAGGGATATTGTTAAATATTTCCCAAATGAAAATGAAGAGGTTTACACGTTATTTCTACCCAAATGGGCACTGGGTGGGTCTAACTCAAGGAGGATGCACTGGTTAATCCCTTTTCCCAGTGTGAATCTGATGGGTCTGAAGGAAGTGATGCAAAACACAGACACTGATTCCATTTTCCCAAACCTTCTCCCTTTCTCAGATATTCAGAGCTAAAGTCACCTAAAAATTATTCATTTTCCTCCATCTACCAAAATTAAATTTAGCTCCCTATTTCTCTGCATTAACTCTGTTTTAAGGCAAAGTTTGTATAAAAGTAAAAAAAAAAACATGGAGGAAAAGTCTATTTAACAACAGGAGAGAAATTCTTCAAGGAGAGCTGAACAATGGGAAAACACGAGAATACAAACACAACCACTGACCTGAGCTACAGCCCTTGGCAAGAAAAGGTTCTGATGTATTTTAAAATAAGATGGGATTGGAAGTGGCCTCAGGATTTAAAACCAAGACTTGCCAGGAAGTGTTAGGATCTCCAGAGCACCTTGAACAGGGTCCTGCTAATCCCCAATTCCTGCAGAACAAGTTCCCTTCTCTGCTAATCCTTGGTTCTTACTCCAGCTGAGGATATTTCCCATTCCTCATCAGGAAAAAGACCCTTCCTCCACATTTAAATGAGAAGAGGAAAGCAGAAGAAGGAAAAAAAAGTGATTATTTTATTAAAAAAAAAACCCCTCCCACCTGAATTACATATTTGAGTATCCATGGTTTCAGCTGGGTTTAAAWAAAGTTAYGCTTAAATTGAATATCAWATATGGGGAGTTTTAGTTATCCMCAGCTTAAAATAYCCTGGCCTTAAATAGAAGCAAASATACCATAAAAAGAAAAAAAAAARAWAAARAAAGAAAAKAAGAAACCATGCTGCTACTTCTTCCTGCTCTGTTGTTTTCTGACATCAGCTTCTCTGAAGCTAWAAAAAGGGTGTTTTACTAGGTAAARAGAACTCTAATCASCACAGAMTACTACTTGAAAAARARTTTAATCAATGAKAAGTTCTTTTTAGAAGTGTTTCTGAAGGGGAAAAAAAACTCAATAAATTTATCCTACAATTTCTCTTCTCAAGCTTCAAGTCTACGTTTTTTTGCTGAAGGTGCTTAATTTTCCCTATGGCCATTTCAAAAAACCTCTTTTCTATAAAATAAATAAACTTATAAACTCAAACAAATATTTAATAATTAGAAACCCTTTAAATTTCTTTAGCAAAAATGTTATTTTTGAAAAATGGGAACAATTACCACCAAATATTCTGTCAAATAATACAGATCAAGATACCTTTCCTTAGTAAGGTGTTTAATTGAATTTTAAAAATCCATATTGAATTACTAAAAATAATAGATTTAAGTTATGTCATGGATACATAAATTATCTTTTTAAGTAGCAGACTGAAGGAGCTAATGAAAACTGGGAGCCAGGGCTAAATCTTGAGCAAATCCTTTTTTCCTTCACAGAATATTCAAGAATAACTCCAAGTCTAACCCAGTTTGTGTTTCACTTGCAGCCAAATGCAAAAATATTTCTCAATATGCAGTGTCTTACAAAAAAAAATACCTTTTGGACAGAGGAGAAGAGGCTTTTTTCTGTCACTCAAGAATAAGTTATTCCCAAGTGTGAAAGTTAAAAATTTTAATTCAGCTAAACCAAATCAACGGCTTATTATGTGTCCAGAAAATAAAAGGAGGGTTATAATTCCTTTACAAATAACATGACTTTGGACTTTAATTCGTGTTTTGGTTCCAAATTAGATGTGTGCACAGCAGAATAAAAACTTGCTCACATTATCACTGTTCTAAAAGCCTTATTTATAATGAGAGGAAAGATGATGGTACCAAAATATATTCAAATAAAGAAAGAAATACCACTCTTCTGCCACAAATCAGCTGGAGCAGCAGTAAAAATACACCAAATATCAAACCACCTCTGCTTAAATTCTTTCCATTCCCAGCAGGATGATAAAAAAAAAATTATTTTGCCATAAGAAGTTTGGAAGGGGGAAAAAAAAAAAAAAAAGCATTACTCATCACAGGTATTTATTTATAGCAACCAGTGCCAGCAGGGAAGATTGCGTTACCTGGTTAATCCTCAGTGTTTGGATTTCTCCAACCAGGAAAATGAGGAAGGGAAAGAAAATTTGACTAATTATTCACATTTCAACCATTCTTAATTATTGTATAAGTGACAAATACTAATGAATTTATCCCCGAAGGCAGAGAGCCTCCATTAATATTATTTTAGGCCGTGATTTTTCTTGATGATGTTAAATCACTGCTGGTTGTGCCACTTGCAGCTGGATCTCCAAAATATTGGGCTCTGCTAGGAGAGCTCCTACCTTTGAGGAATCCCAGTTTAATCACCACATTCCTGCAGGACTGGCAGCAAAATCAGAATCCCAAATAATTATTTGGGATCCTAGAAGCAGATCCTACAAGATCTGATCCCATTTTAAGCCTGTCCTCCTTTGGCACTCAGCACACACTGACTGATGCTTCAAAAATCAAAACAAGGGGAAAAAATAGAAAAGCAAAACAAACCCTCAAAAGCTTTTGAAAAATTTAATTATTTTGCAAATTCCCTGTGAGCTGAGGTAGTGCCAGTTACCTGGGGAGAGCCCTGAGCTCCTCAGCTGATTTTGCATCAGATGATGAGGCTGCTGTGCCCAGAGAGAGAGGATTTGGTGTTGTTTTGGTGGGGGGAACACCACAGTCCCATGAACATTGTGACAGCTCTGTGCTGATATCCAGCCCACAAAACTCCTTGTGTCTTCATCCCCATAGTGTTCCATGTTCACAAAATTCCAGAGCCACCTCAGCCTGGCTGTGCTGGGCTGGGTATTTTCCTTCTGAACAGCTCAAACCCCAGAGCCTTTTGCCTTCTCCCAGCCTGCTGCCACCTCCTCTGCTGAGCAGCAAAATCAGCAGAGACCTCATCACCCACCTGACACAACATCAACCTGCTGCATCTGCTCCTGCCGAGGAGCAAATCCCTCTAAACAGCACTGAAATTCAGAAATCTTCATAAAATGAAACATTGAAACCCCAGGGACAGGGACCTGCACATTCCAGGTGCCTTTGAAAAGTTTCAGTGCCAAAATAACATTTTTAGTCTGGACTGACTGGAATTCAGAGAACAGCACCAATAAAGCGGGGAACAGAAACACGAGGAATGGGAAAATGGAATTTGGACCTGCAAAGCACCTAAACACATTTTTAATCTTAAATTAAATAAAATAGACAAGATTACATGTTAGTGACTCCCGAAGTGAAGCATTTTTTGGGCAGTATAATCCCTGCCTCTGAAAAAACTGCCTTAGGGAAAGGGTTTTATTGGAAAGCACACTTTCAATTAACCACTGTCATTAACAGAGAAAAATCAACTTGCTGCAAGAATTTCCTTGCAGGCTGATTGTGAAGGGAGCGGGGATGAGCTCCTGGAGCTGGGGAGGGAACTGGGATGATTTCCTGGGATTGGGATGATTTCCTAGGATTGGGATGATTTCCTGGGGCTGGGCAGGGAGCTGGGATGATTTTCTGGAGCTGGGGAGGGAACTGGGATGATTTCCTGGGTCTGGAAATGGATTTCCTGGGGCTGGGATGATTTCCTGGGATTGGGATGATTTCCTAGGGCTGGGATGATTTCCTGGAGCTGGGAACAGAGCTGGAATGATTTCCTGGGATTGGGATGATTTCCTGGGGCTGGAAAGGGACCTAGGATGATTTCTGGGAGCTGGGATGATTTCCTGGGGCTGGGCAGGGAGCTGGGATGATTTTCTGGAGCTCGGAATGGAACTGAGATGATTTCCTGGGTCTGGGAATGGAATTGAGATGATTTCCTGGAGCTGGGAATGAAATTCAGATGATTTCCTGGGTCTGGGATGATTCCTGGGGCTGGGATGATTTCCTGGGGTTGGGAACAGAGCTAGGATGGTTTCCTGGGATTGGGATGATTTTCTGGGGCTGGGAAAGAAAGCTGGGATGATTTCATGGGGCTGGGATGATTTCCTGGAGTTAGGATGATTTCCTGGAGCTGAGAAGGGAGCTGGGACGATTTCTTGGGGCTGGGAAGGGAGCTGGGATGATTTCCTAGGGCTGGGAACAGAACTGGGATGATTTCCTGGAGCTGGGATGATTTCCTGGGGCTGGGATGATTTCCTGGGACTCAGAACAGAGTTGCCTTTCCCTTTCCTTGCTCACAGAGCTCTGGATTCGCACCCCAAGCCTGGACATTCTCCCACCTACCCCACGAACCTAAAGGTTTCCCATCAAACCCACTCACTCCTGCAATCCCAAAGTTTCCCCTTCATCTGAATTCCATGAGCCAATAACCCTCCAGAGGTTCTCTTTGTTCAGCAGCACAACCTGGAGCCATTCAAAAAAAATGGAATTTACCTGAATATTGAGCCTGCCCCGGTGGGCCCCGAGGCCGTAGCGCTTGGCTGTGGAGGCGTGGAGCTGGAAGTCAGTAATTTTTAATGTCTCCAGACCAAGTGGAGGGCAATCTAGGCAACAAAAGATTGATTAAATTTTAATTAAACAAGAGGGGGGAAAAAAATGAAACGACACAAAACAAACAAGTATTCAGAGTTTGTGGGTTTTGGCAGTGCCAAGCTGGTCAGGTCCTCCCCAGGATAAATGAGCACAGCAGGGCTGGGATCAGTGAGGAATGGCAGCTCTCAGGAAATCAGTGAGAAAATTCAGATTTACACCGTTTTCAGGGGCTCAGATATTTATTCCTGCTCACTCTGTGCTTCACTTTTTCACAGATATGCACAGCATTCCCTACCAAGAGCTTTTCAGGGCAAAACACCGCTAAAACGCCCTTTTTATTTTTCTTTTTGGTGTTTTATTTTTCTTTTCATTTTTTTCTTTTTCTTTTTCTTTTTCTTTTTCTTTTTCTTTTTCTTTTTCTTTTTGGCGTTTTCTTTTTCATCTCTCACTTGGATTATTTTTCCTCCTCCCTGTACCGATTCCAAGCTACTGTACAAAATTATGTTTCTAATTAAAATCTGTTCTGGAAACTTCCCTGAGAATCCCTTCAGTTGCACAATAGCATCTGTAACAGAGGTCTGGGAGCCCAGAGAGCTGAGCTCTGCAAGGTGGTGACAAAAACTGCAATTTTGACCCAAGGATTGTCTCTCTAAGCCCCAAATTCTGCACAGCCTTGAGGACAGAAAAGCAAAAGTCATTATTTTAGCCAAGCAGTGCTTGGAGCTCTAGCTTTGGAAGATAAGAGGCTGGGAAAAGGCTGTTTTGATGATGAGCAGAAAAATGTTTTGCTTTTGAATCACTCACTGAAATGTCATGAGGTTATCAAAGAATGAAAGAATGGTTTAAAGTTGGGAAATCCCTCAAAAATCATCGAGTCCAGCCATTCCCCAAGGGCCACATCCACACCTCTGTTCAATCCCTCCAGGGATGGGGACTCCACCACTGCCCTGGGCACTGAGAATGTACCTGAGAACCTCATCCTGGCTGTGTCCAAATTTCAGGAGCAGCTTTGCATTATTAGGCACAAACTGGCAAAGCCACGAGATTTCCCAGATTCCTGCTTAGCTCACAACAAACTAAAATCCCTCAGGAAAAAATGCTGCATCTGTCAAATCACGCTGCTGTTCCTTCCTTCATCCTCAGGAGAGTTCTCACACAAATCAGGGCCAAATGGCTCCTTCAGAGGCAGTAAAGATAAATGCTAAAAATTAATGTGTCTTCTACAGTACCAACAGTGATCTCAGCCTTACATAAGAGTAAAATGCAGACAGCTCCTCATTTCAAAGAGATTTCGATTCAATTATCCAAAACGGGGAAGAGACAGGATGTAGAAGGAAGGAATAGCTGGGAGGGTTTTGGTTTCATTGGTGATTGTTTTAATTGCATTTCCTTATGGAGTGCTGCATCTTTTATCATGTTCCAACTGGAAGAAGTCTCGGGCTCTGGGAGTAAATCACAGAGCTGGGAGCTGCCTGCTTTTTTTAACAAATTTGGTCCTCGAGATACCCAGGACAGGTTTGGAAATCGCCCTCATGGTGGAATGCTGAGAATGCTTTGGTACTTTGGTATATTTTCCTTTGTGAACCATCTCACCATTCCCAAGAGTTACCCTGAGCTGCCTATGCCATCTCTGAGCTGAAAATAAAGGTGGCCTGACAATAAAAACAAGCTGTTTTTGCATGCTCAGTTCATAAAATATCATTTAATACAACATTTATGTTGCATTTACCAAAGCCAAAGGACAATCCACAGATACTGCTGGGAATTATAAATTAAAATTTGGAAAATCTCTGTGTTTGGAAAGGCTCTATGACCAGAGAATATCATGATCTCTGCTACCAAACTTCAGCAAAGTTTTCTAGAGCTATCCCAGGTGTCACATCCCTGCTCCATGGGATGAACAGGCACAGTCCCCATCCACCACTGCTGTGCAGAGCCCAATTTGATGAAACTTGTAGGAAATGCAAGGATTTTGAGCCTGGCAACACCTGTCTGAGCAGGCTGAGCTCCCTGCAGTGACATTCACCTGCCCATGCATGTACAAGAACCCGGTCTGGCTTTATTCTGACTGAAATGCTATTAATTCACCATAAAACTGCAAAATCTCTGGGCTGCCTGTGGATTTAGGCTTCAAGATGGAGATTTACAGGCTGAAGAAATCCCCAGTGTATTTTGGTGTTTATCTCTGTTTGTAGAGCAGCTCAAGGGCAATAATTGACCAAGAAGGTTCAGTGATCTCAGAGAAAAGCGTGTGGCTTCTCTTGATTTTCCAAGGATGAACTCCTTGTGTTGTCTGGAAAATCATCAGGTTAGGAAATGCTCAATTGAGAAGGAGCTGCCAATGAAACCAAGATGAGGCTGTGGGAGCAGGCAGAAGGGGTCACTCTGATGAAAACTCTGCAATAAACTCCTGCCTTACAATATTCCAAGTGAAATCATGAGGATCTTTACCATAATTCAAGAGTATCCTGAAATTTATTCTTTCACTGTTATCCATGTGAATCAGTAGGAAAGCACTTGCTTTCTGTAACTTCACCAAACCACCAAATCAATTTTTTTTTTCTTTCATCTTGCTAAGAAAAAAACAGTATTTTGCTCCAAATAATACAAATAATTTCTTCCTCTGTTGGCTCCTCTTTCTCCAGTGGCCATCCCAAACTGGGAGAAAAGCAGCAGGATCCTCATTCTAAGAGAGGAATCCCTGCAGGTGCTGCTGAGCTCCCTCCCCAAGCCAGTTCTGGCTCAGTTTGCAATCTCAGCCTCGTGTTTGAGAGCAATTTCATCCTCGTGATGGTTTTGTACTATTGATGCAGCATCTTCCACTGAGCTCTGGTCAAAACTCCCAACTTTTGCAGAGCCAGCTTGGTTTCCTTCCTCCTGCAGTGGAATTACAGCTGCTGTGCTGCAATTTTRRCTGCTCTGTGTCACAAACTGTATYAGCAGATATCCTTAGAAACAACTCYACAAGATGTATCCATGAGCAGGGCAAGGAAAACACTGGTGTTCATTGCTATTGCCTAAATTATTCATTTATTTTATTTCCTTCTGGTCTAAATAAAGAATGCCAGCCAAGCCCAGATTGCCTTGATAGCTCTTGTATTGAATAAAGATGCTTTTAGGAAATCATTCTGTCCTCCTCTTTCGGAGGCAAAGCAGACAAACCATTCTTTTATTTAAAGAGAATTTCCATCAGTTTTGGAATGTGTTCAGCCTTTCAAATGGAAGGGCAGAAAGAGGCATCATGTTTCCTCTCCAGTCCATATTTTAAGAGCCATGCCTAGAATCCTCTTCAATCCCTACAAATCTGGGCTTTTCCAACTCCTCATGAACACCGAGAGTGAGATCTGAAAATGGAGAAATATCAGCTTTTTGCAGCCTGAAAACCTCCCATCCCCGGGCAGATATGAGGTTAAATTTGTGTTTAAACAAACCATTTCAACTTGCAGTTAAGATGCAAAACCTTGAAGCAACTGATACAGGTAAATTAAGCACACAAATAAATGTATCTTTTGTGGGAATGAAGACTTTAATGCTTATTATACCATTCACACCTTTCTTAGATCGTTGTGATCTTGCACAAAAATCCCTAATGGGGCCAATATAATAAATTTTGCCCTAGCAGCTAAATTTAGAGGCTTTCCTATGAAAAGTGTAGTTGATCATTAATCTTCCAACAGCAGAATCTTTTAATGGAAACTCTGGTAGTCCAATTTCTGTGGCTAAAGGAATCCTTAGGTCACAGGAAATCAAAATACTTTAATGCTGCAATGCATCTGCCAGGTGAAATGTACACAAAAAGCACATTTCTGATAATCCAATAATTAAATAATGAGTAAATTAAGAATTATCTGTGTTGTTTAAGTCAGGTCTGACATGAAATGAGATGCAGAAAATAGACTTTTTCATTTTCTTTCACT